TCTCATGTCCTGTGCTTTTGAGTCTCCTGGAAGTAGAGGGTCAACTTGTTTGTGTGCTTGGTTCTGCCTAGGACTTTGGTATTTGGACTTTTGTGGTAGTATAGACCTGTAATATGGTTCCTACCATGCATGCTTTCTCTCTTTCTCTCTCTCTCTCTCTCTCTCTCTCTCTCTCTCTCTCTCTCTCTCTACCTATCTGTCTGTCTGTCTAATTTATGGCTTTTCAAGACACGGTTTCTCTGTGTAGCCCTGGATGTCGTAGAACTCACTCTGTAGACCAGGCTGGCCTTGAGCTCAGAGATCTGCCTGCCTGTGCTTCATGAGTGCTGGGACTAAAGGTGTGTGCCATCACTGCCTGCCTCAATTTACCCTTTTTGTTTGTTTGTTTGTTTGTTTGTTTTTGAAGTTAGGGTTTCTCTGTGTATCTTGGCTGTCCTGGACTTGCTTTATAGACCATGCTGGGCTCAAACTCGCAGAGATCCACCTGCCTTTGCCTCCCTGACTGCTGGAATTACAGGCATGTGCCATTGCGCCTGGCTTTTAATTTGTTTGAGTGTACAGTGTGTGTGTGTGTGTGTGTGTGTGTGTGTGTGTGTGTGTGTGTAGGCCAGAGGTTGATGTTGGGATGTCACTTGCTGTCTACTTTATTTTTTGAGGCAGAGTGTCTCATTAAACCCCTACCTTATTACCAGACTAACAAGCAGCAAGCCCCGCAGAGTCTCCTGGCCTGTCTGCCATCTTAAAATGACTGGTGCCTGGCTTTTATGTGGGTGCTGGACTACACTCAGGCCTGCATGCCTGTGGCATTCATTTTATTGACTGAGCCACTGGTCTATCCTCAGAAACTTTGTAGAGCAACATTATTTTAGGGAAGAGCTGTGTCTTACCCTCCATTATTTAGTGATGTTGACTGGTAATTAGCCATGCATCAGTGAGCCTATAAACACTAGTCACATGGGAAAATCGACTTTGTACAAAATAATCACCCTCCTGTATGGCATGGGACAATGTGAAGATCGGTGTCCTTCATGGAAGGTGTCTCCTGGGCATATCTTCGAGCAAGCCTCTGTCCCCCAGCCTTCCATGCAGGTGCTCTCAGAGAACTGAAGTCAGCTCCACTCACACATCTGGAGGAAGCCTGGGAGATAGCTTCAGGAAAGGCCTTCTAGACTGCAGTACGGTCCAAAAGCAGGTGCTTTCTTTACACTCCTACTGATGGCTGTAGTTAAGTAAAAATAAAAATGATGAGAATTCACAACCTTAGAAGGGCAGCTAGAAGGTGTTAGAAGTGATAGCAGTGTGGAGGGGTGACAGAAAGTAAGACCGTGTTGTGCTGTGTTCCTGACCTGACAAGGGCTTCATGCTGCCTGCTTATGAGGGGACAGAAGGTTCCTGCGTGCATGGGTGCATGCGTGGGTGTGTGTATGTGTGTGCATGTGTGCCAGCTCATAACTGTCTGTGCCTCCAAGGTCTGACACTCTAATATAGATATACATGCAGGCAAAACACCAGTGCATATAAAACAAAGGTTAATTAGAAAAGGAAAAAGGAAATACTGTGCTGTGCCAGGCACGCACACACATGCCTGTAACTGCAGAGCTTCCACATGTGCTGCATGCAGGTGACCTACTTTTCTGTATCAAAGGACATTGTCCAAAAAAGTGAAATTGCAGGGTACAGGGTGGAAAAGATACTGCCCTTTCTAGACCATGGAGGCTGCCTCCAGAATATATAAAGAATCCTTCAAGTCACCAGCAAAAAGGCAATCCACTTAAAACCAACAGATCTGAATGGGCCTTTCTCCATGGAGGACACACACATAGCCACACTGGGGAAGTGCTGCATGCCTGGCCCTCACAGCCCCAAGAACACTGAGACGGCTGGACCATGAGTTCAAAGCCATACATTGGCAGTCTATCTTTAAAAGAGACAAGGACAATGAGCAGATGAAAAAAAGAAACCAAGTATCCTTGGTTGTTAGCTAAATATCCATCATAGCCATGGTGAGGCCATGTCTTTCCCACATGGTTATAACCCACAAATGGAAAGTAAGTATTGGCACATCTGTACACATCTGTGCAGTTGGGCACCCTGCTACTTTGTGGGTTGGAATGCAAAATGATTTATAGCTGCTGTGGAAAAGAACTTGGCAGTTCCTTGGAAATTAGAACATTGAACATCTAGAGAGATGGCTCAGAAGCTCAGGGCACTTGCTCCACAGGCATGACGACCAGGGTTCCAATCCCAGCACCTGTGTAACACGCTTCCCCACAAATGCTGGTGATTCCAACTCCAAGGAAGGCTGAGACAGAAGGATTGCTGAGACTTGCTATTTTCCAGCTTTACCGAGAGGCCTCCACATACGTATTTGCACACGCATGTGCACATACATAGGCATTATGAATAACACATGTAAAACTTTTTAAAGTTAAAATCAAATGCTGTCTGCCCACCTAAGTTCATCCCTAAGCCTCTATCCTAAACACCTGGAAACTGGCTGCTCTCAAATGTCCGTGCAGGCACATCCCAGGCAGTGCCCATCAGGGCAGACTAGAGGTGGGGACAACCCAGTGTCACCAACAGAAGAGTGATCAAGATGTGGAAGCAGTGGAATACCTCTTAGCCATAAAGAGAGAAGTGTTCCTACATGCTATGGTTGGGATGAGGTGCTACTGGGAATGGAGCCCGGAGCCCCGTGCATGCAGCATGGGTGAACCCCAGACAGCATAAAGCCAGATGGAACAGGTCTCGGAGGACGGAACTCATTTCTGTGGGATATCCAGAAGAAATCAGCATGTAGAGAAGGTACCTAGAATGGTCCGGGGGTGGAGAGGTAAGTCATTAGTGGGCACAGGATTTCCAGCTGAGTATCAGAAGCATTTGTAACCTTCGATAGTATCTGCACACAGTGTCAGCGTATTGAGAAGCACTGGATTGCTCTCTTTAAAATTGCTAATTTGGCCAGACATGGTGGCTCACACCTTTAATCCCAGAATTCTGAGGCTGTGGATTTTTTTCAACCTAGTTGACATGGCAAGTTCTCAGCCAGCCACATACATAGTTAAGACCCTGCCTCAAACAAACCAAAACTGTCTTAGTTACTGTCCTATTGCTGTGAGAAGACACCATGACCAAGACAACTCTTATAAAAGAGAGCATTTAGCTGGGGGCTTGCTGACAGTTTAGAGGGCCAGTCTGTGACCATCGTGGCAGGAAGTACACAGTCATGGCCCTGGAGCTGGAGCTGAGAGATTTCCATCATGGTCTGCAGACAGCAGATAAAGAGAGACACTGGGCCTGTCTGGGCTTTTAATACCTTAAAGCCCATTGAGTGACACACCTGCTCTAACAACAACATACCTCCTCACAAGGACACGTTTCCCAATCCTTCCAAAACAGTTCCAGAAGTAAAGTGTTTGGTCTGTAAGCATTGGATCCCAGCACAGATGTAATCCTATGATCCTCGCCCTGCGGGGGAGTGCACTTCACTAGAATTCACAGAGAAGAGAGTCCCATCCAACCACAGACTGGCTCAGGTTAGGGCCTGAGACAGGAATCGGTTGTTTTGCTGAGGCAGCTGGACTCAGCCCTGTGGGCAGTACAGAGCCTTTTGCCAAGGAGAAAACCTTTGTGATGGGCTACTGAGATGGCACACATATGCAGGCTAACTAAAGCAGGAAAGACAGAGGGCATGGTGGCAGCACTGGGGACGCTGATGCTGAGCACATCCAAGCACAGGGTGTGAGGCCTCAAGGAGCCATAGGAACTGCAGCTGTGCGCAGGTGGTGACCTCACTGACTCTAGGGGGTGTATAAAGTAGAAACTTGTTTGTTTCTTTGTTTTTCCCAGTGTGCAGGTGAGGGGGACAGGTTTCTGATGTGGCCTGGCTTTGAGCCCAGGCAGACTTGACTTCAGAGGTATGGTAGCTAATGATACAGAGATGAATATATAAGGGATTTTTTCCAGATCCTCTGCCGTGGGGGGAGGCAGTAGAAACGTTTCCCCTTGAGTGATCAAGCGTGCAGACCTTCTCACGAGGGCTCTCCAAGTGGAAATGCCTGGCCAGAAGGTAGATATATAGACAGGAGCTCACAGCAAGAGGTTAGACCATAGCTGAGGTGAACAGCAGGCACATCCAGCCCCCATGCTTCCGACCACCTGCTTCCCACCGTCCACCCCCTGGTGAGTCCCTTGCCCTATGCCCTCCCAGAGGCTTCTGGGGTCAGTTAGTTGACCCATCTTGCAAGAGCACAGTCCAGCCGAGGATCACTCTTCCGCTGGGGCTCTGGCACAGCTATGGGAGGGACTTGGTTGGACTGTGCTAATTCCTGATGTTCAAGACAAAGAAATTCATAATTCAGTCTTTCTTCTATGCTGTGGGAGAGAGGGGCAGACAAGCAGGCGCTTTCTTCTTCTTGAAAGGCATTCATGTCGTGTAGCTCGGCTTCGTTTGGTTAAATGCTCCCTAAAGGACTTGTGATAAGCCATCTCTGTTACAGCTTCCAGTGATGGCAAGAGGAACATGGGGAAGCCTGTCCAATGAGGAAGAAGCCTCCTTCTACAGTGAAGCCTTAGCCTGTTCCCCTGCAGGCCCTGGAGTCCAGGATAGCATTGGGACAGTTTCAAAAGCCTTGTCATCACAACAGAAGCCCCAAACCTCCCTTCAGCCTAACGTCTCCCCAACAGGCTTGGTTCTAGCAAAATGTCACGCACATGTGTGCCTTTCCAAGCTGGTGGCCTTTGTCTGAAGCATTCCTCTCCCTGGAATGTTGTTTGTCTTGCCCTAAGATTCTGTCCATCCGTGAGAGTCAGCTCATGTGACCTCTCTGTCCTGCCTGACAAGCTCAGAGATAGCCTCATGGACTCCTTTTGTGAGATATCCGGTAGAGAGCACAGAGAGGTTAAGAGCTGGCGGGATACCACGCAGCTTCAGTCTAGCAGACTTGAGGCTACAAAAGCCCCGCTGACCCCTGTTTCCTGTCTCTCCTCTCCGGCTCCAGGTGGAAGTGAAACCATATGTGCTGGATGATCAGATGTGTGACGAGTGCCAGGGCACGCGCTGCGGTGGGAAGTTTGCCCCATTCTTCTGTGCCAACGTCACCTGTCTGCAGTACTACTGTGAATACTGCTGGGCCAGCATCCACTCCCGAGCCGGCCGAGAGTTCCACAAACCGCTGGTGAAGGAGGGAGGCGACCGCCCCCGGCACGTCCCATTCCGCTGGAGCTGAGCCCTGGGCGACCCCGCTACAAGTACTGGAGTAGATCACAAGGAGGAAGAGAGGGCACTGCCTCAGGGCTCATGGTGTTCTGGAAATCTGTGCATTCGTTCTCGATTTTTAAAGAAGAAATGGGTCTTTTTATTATTATTATTATTATCATTTACAGTCATATTACTGAACTCAGCGTCCAGTATAATGCAGAATCGCAGAGTGTGTAACGGTACCCATTTGCACTTTGACTCACACCGTGTCTGCTTGGTCCCTTGATTTCTTACACCTGACCTGTCACCTCCACAGTGCGTAGACTGCCATTCTCATCAGCGGCCGTCAGGTTGACGGCTGCGACTCTGTGTTTGATGTTGTGTTGTTGTCGCTCTGATTGGTCTTGAACTGGAGCACGCGCTTATTTTCAGAGACTTAGAGAGTCGCCCCTAGGACAAGACTTACCAAAGGCCATGTGTGTAAGTAGAGGCCGATATAGCAAACACTTTACAATCAGCAATCAGTAGTGGGGCCACGTAGCGTAAGGATAGCCCTTAACGAAAATAAGCCTGTAGTCGCTTTGTACTTTGACGTGTACGGATACCTCACGAGCCGGATCTTTAGTTTCTCCTTCATGTTTGACTTTTGTTTTGCTGAGGATTTGGGTTAGATTTTTAGTGTTATGTAAATTTATGCTGCAATAGCTTTTGCTGCTATTAAAATGGTATTGTTGATACCATAATACTCTATTCAGGCTAAGGTATCAATTAAAAACAAAAACAAGAACCCAACAACACACTTCCATGGTTTAGGGATAGAGCCAGCTGCCGGAGGGAGCTCGTAAGAGAGCAGAGAGAGCCAGCGGAGGCCGCCAATCCTGACTGCATGTTTACTTAATGCGGTTGCTGCATGCAATAAGTTTTATATCAATGTCTAGTATAAAACCTTCCCACAATGCACAAATTAAGAATCTATATAAGCTATAAAATACTCATGTTTTAAAAGATTTCTTTTTCATTCAAAGAATTGGCAACGTGTGGGAGGAAGGCATGCCTCAGTGGGTGGAACGCTTATGGGCTGGAAGAGCCCATAACGGGACAACCGTTACTACAACCCGTAGAAAACCTAGGTGTAGGACACTCTTCCAGCAAACCTGTGGGTGATAGAGGAAGTACTTGCGGTGCTCTGTTATATACTGTGCAATTTATTTTCTATAGTCAAGTGATTATGTCTAACTGTGATCAAACGTAACTGTCTCAAGCCTCTGTGTCGGACATTGATGAACCTGAGCATTCATACCTGGCATATTACTAAGTAGCCATGAGCTCTGAGTTAGGACCTCCTAGCGCTCGTACCACTACACGTAGCTCAGACCCTGCCAGGAAGCCAAAGAGCTCATCTTAGCTTAAAGACACTAAGAGCAGACACACTATCTAGAAATACGTCGTCAGATTGACGGAGGTACATCTTTAAGAAAGCCACGTCAGGGTGATGCTAAAGAAATCTGTCCCAAGCGAGATGGCCTGGGCCTTCTGTGTGAGACAGTAGCTACTAGTCCCTGGATTTCCCTGTGAAGCTTGAATAGAAGGAAGCCTGCTCGCGCTCCTTTAGCATCACTCCTGGACCACAGAGAGTAACAGAAACACGCACGGTGATTGCAAGACTCTGTAAAGCTTTTTAAACCTTCTTCCTTTGTTTTGAATTCTGGGGACAGTCTGCCTGGATGTGGCTCTGCAGAGTAGATTTAAGTCACTGTGTTTTTGTGCTGTGATGTCCTTGTACTGTCTCGAAGTTAGTGTTGCTTGTTTTTGTTGTAGTTTGTTCTTTGTTTTTGTTTTTGTTTTTTTTTCTCTCCAGTGTTTAGTTGTGAATACTGGCTCTCCAGCTACAGTTTGTTTTCAAAAAAGAAGAAACAAAATAGTTTTTTACTGAATTAAAAGATGCCTATTAGAACCCTCCCCCTTTGGGGTTTTCTCTGGGCCTTTTGGAAATAATTGCTTTTCTGCAGCCCAGATGTGGTTTGGTTTTATTTGGTTTGGTTTTATTTTTTTCTATGTTTGTGTTTTTTTTTTTTTTCATCTGTATGGGAAATTTTGTTACGCACTACTACTTTTTATATTCTAGAACGTTTTCAAAAGTTGGCTGATGATTTTTGTTCGTTTGTTTTTAAGGAAAAAGGCATGCTTTCTGACTGACATGATCTTTTGCAATACCTCAATTTTGAAATATAGGAAAGAAAATGATATTTTCTAAGTAAGTTTATTCAGAAAATATATATTAATTTAATTCTGCAAGAAAATGATTTAACAGATGGGTAACTTTATTTTTTTCATGCTTATTTGTGTTTTTTGAAAATGAAGTTAGAGCTTTATAACTATAATATTAAAGATCATATCTAACCTACAGAAATCTACCTAATTATGTGAAAGATGCAAATGTTTGGAAGAAGCACCCCTCTTTCATGTACTAAAGTAACCCTGAGCCCTAGAGAAGCTGGAGGACGCGCAGCGTAAAGCTAACTGCGAAGGCCGTGGGGGCCGCAGAGGCCAGGCTGAGAGGTTCCACCTGGTGCTGAGGCTGTGGCTAGGCGATGGAGACTACTTTCCCTTAATTTGTATATTTATAATCAAGTGTTGATTGTGCGACTGACCAGGATTGTGAAAGAGTTCTTCTGTTTGTATTTTTTTAAAGAGAACTTTTTTAGTTTATTAAATTATAACATGTTCCCTTTTGTTTTGTAAATAAACGTGCCCCCCCCAAGTTCTTAATGTTATATTAAAAGAGAGGGTCCTTCAAAAAACTTATTTTTTAAAACACAGAGGTGTTCTGCCCTGCAACTTGACTGGGAAGCCCCGGGTAGCACAGGGCCTGCTGTGGCCTCTCCGAGGGACACTTGAACTAGCGGGCTCCGAAGCTGTAACTAACCTCGCCTCTTTGTCGTTACGTGCAATACTGTTTGTACTGTTTGTATAAAAATAGAAAAAAGAAAAGAAAAAAGGCCTAAACCTTTATTGCAGATTTATTTTCATTGCAGACTTTCGACATTGTGACTCACAGAGCTCATTTTCTACTGTCAAATATGTACCTTTTCCTCATGCTGGTATTTTTTCAATAGTAACGTAGCCTTTGTACTGAGACAAATTTTCATTGTTATTTTTAGAAAGATTTTTTGCTAAGAAAAAATTAAACATATTTACATATTTTTCATTTTATTTCGTATTTTCTTTAAGGAGTGCTTTCTCAATCATTACTAGAGTTGTTTCTGGGAGGGACTTTCATATCTGGTCAACGTCATAATATTATTTTGTATTTTTACTTGGAATAAATTAATTTTATGATGCTAATTCTTTAAAAGTTTATTTTTTTCATTTTCAGTTATTTTTGAAGCTAAAACCTTTGTAATATTGTTACTAAAGTGTCTAGTTTTTTGAACTGCAAAGCTTTATGTATCAACTTGCTGATGTGGTTTACAGTAGTGGCAAGGATGGAAACGGCTGGTTCTGTGAACGGGACTGTAACGGACAACTGGGCAATAAAGTGACAGAGTGAGCAGAACGCGCGAGACCCTGACAAGCCTTTTCCTTTATGACAGTGTTTAGTGTGAGACTAGGGGTGTCACAGTACAGGTCTCTGAGGATGTCACAGTGGCTTTATACAACACCAGATGCAGCCAAATCTGTGGCCCAATAACGAAGTCACCCTCCTGAAACAGCGTTGGGTGTGAAGCCTAGCTCGGCCAGCAGTGTCCAGTGCTTTCCCTAAAACTATGTCGAGCGTGTGTGTGTGTGTGTGTGTGTGTGTGTGTGTGTGCGTGCGCGTGCATGCGTGCGTGTGTGTGTGTGTGTGTGTGTGTGTGTGTGTGTGTGTGAATCCACCACCAGCCGCTGTCCATGTGTGAGCTGGTGCCTTTCCTCCCAAACTTGGACTCACATGCACAGTGGTGATGTGTGTGAGAAGACACCTGTGTGTTGCATGACTTGAGTGCCTCACCTGACACGGGCCCTGGCGGCCCTGGGGGAGCACACAGAATGCCACCACTGTGTATGTGTCAGATGCATCTTTCTCCCAGTCTGCTCTCTGTCCTGGCGCCCCTTGTTTGCCTTTTCTTGGGGTGATATCGGGCCACTCTGCATGATCTGCCTTCCTGCTGCTGCTTCTCCGGTCTCCCCCCACGCCCCCTCCACCCTGACTCCCACCCTGGCCTGCACTGTGAAAGCAGCTGTCGAAAGGCGTCTGCAGTCCCCGGACCTCTATGCAGAGCTGGTGTTGTGTAAACAGAACATCCAGGGACTCTAGGTAGACGGTGCGTTGCCGCTGGTTGTCGTGGCCTCTTCTCCGCCCGTCCCAGCGAGCGGGGAGGAGGTTAATCCATGACTGGGACGAGCGTGTGTCCAGAGTCGGCTCTTGGGTTCGCTCTCTGTATTCAGTTTTGTAAATAATATATAGATTAGATGAAGTTGTGATGTAAAATTTTAACTCAAATCGGGTCCTATTGGTTGGAATTTTACATTAACCACAAATACATGATTAGGAACAGAAGAAATTGGGAACTTATTGTTTAGTGGTATAGATTATGCGTAGATCTCTGCCTCTATCTTGTGTTTTGTTGCTTGCTAGTGAGGCATGGGCTAGTGCAGTGTCCTGCATTTGTGCAATTAGCAAATAACTGCTAGTTTTCCTTTCATCTATTACATTAGCAACAAAGTGGCATTTAACTGGGTAAAGCTCCTACCCACATATTTGAGTATTGTGACATCTCAGCTTGCAAGGTTTGAATGAAAGATTAGTCACAGATTAGTGAAAAAAAAAAAAAGTGTCTTTTTGTTAAAACTGGCTCATTTGTATGGACCACTCCTCTCTCACTAGTTTGTATGCTCTGTCTGCTAACAGTTCCTTTTTTCTTTTATGATAACCAAACTTGTCAAACTCAGCGGCCATAGTGTTCCATCCCACCAGAGTATTTTATAATTGACGCTGTCGACTTTATACCCCAAAATGGGTCAAGAGTCCAGGAACGTTGACTTTGTATGATTACAGGAGTTCATTGGGACCCTGAGAGCTGGGGTGCTACCACAGGGGACGTTCTGCTTCTGGACACAGTACTGTTGGGGTAGAAAGCATTATGTATTTGTATTTTTGCTGTGGAAACGATGGACGGGACTTTTAGAGTGTTCACAGCTCAGATCTCTGTATTCGTTTTTCAACTAAAAACTAATTTTAACCGTACTGTATCTTTTCCTACTGTTCTCTTGGATTGTTTTGCTGGTAACCCTTCCTCGGCTTCCGCCCTGGGGCTTGGACTAATACTGCTTGTATGGATTCGCTACTGTGACTGACCGTGGAGCTCATGCAGCTATCGCTTAACTGCTTACACTTCGTAGTTTGGACTTTTTTTCTGTAATAACAACTTATTAAATCTAGTTGTATGAAGCACCGACACGTGTCATCTTTTGCTGAGGGATATCTCCGTGTGTTCGCTTCCCATCAGGGGGAATTCTGATCTGCTCCATTAGTTTAAAACAAACCAAACCAGGGGAGGAGGACCTCCCCTATCAGTGGACTTGGGGAGGGGCGTGGGAGGAGATGAGGGAGGGAGGGTGGGGTCGGAAGGGAATGAGGGAGGGGGCTACAGCTGGGATACAAAATCAATAAACTAATATATAAAAAATAAAAATTTAATTAAAAGCAAGCAAACCCAAAACCCCAGGTCTTCAAACAGTTTTCATCAAAGTTTACTCTTTCTCAGACACAACACTTTCAAATGCACAAGTAAATTTGAAACAGGAAAATATTTGTGGGGTCAGGTGGTACAGGTGGGGCCTTGGGCCTTGTGTGGTGTGTGTGTGTGTGTGTGTGTGTGTATGCTGTTGATGACTCCCTGGGCCTCAGGCAAGCTAAACCAGGACTCTGTCCTGAGCTAGCCCCCTCACCCTCTCCACCAATGCCTTGGATTTTAATTGCCAATACCTTGCCACACGAGGCCAAATTACTTAACCAGGACTGTTGTGAAAACGTAAGTATTGTCTGTCGTCTTATTTTTCACAAGGACACCAAGTCTCCTAATGAATTTTTTCAGAAAAATAGGGCTTTGGAAAATCCGCGTGGATTCTGGCAGCGCCGCACCCTTTCGCTGCTGTCCACGAGTCCTTAAAGGAAAAGGATGAGGAAGCCTGGCCAGGACGGCTCAGTCGGGGTGGGACTGGGCGCAGCTGGTTCCGGGACAAAGGCTTGGGGTCACGCACGACGCGTGTACGAGCCCAGCCGGGGTGACACCCCCTTCCCCGTGCCCTTCCCCTGCGCGGCCCGTGGAGCGGGACGGGAAGGGGACGGGAGGAAGGGGTGCAGAAAGGGGGAGGGCGGGGAGGAGGGCGTTCGGGGAGGACGGGGGGGGGGGGGGGGAGGAGAGGAGGGCGTTCCGGGAGGCGGGGCCGCGGTGTCCCCGCCCCCTCCTTCACCTGCCCCAGGGTTGCGCGTTCGGAACTCCAGGCCGCAGCCCGGCAAGTAGGAGCGCCGCGCGTGCCCGGCCCGCAGGGACCCCAGGCCTCCCCGAGAGGCGGTGGCGGCGCCGCCCGCAGCCATGGGGCCCGACGCACCACTCCCAGGCGGACCCCTTTGAAGCCTGCCTTGTGAACACGTGACGGAACACCTTGAGCCCCTCTAAAGGGCGCCCGTCTACCCTGGCCCCGCGCCGGGCCTTTCAGGAACGGTCCTGAAGTCCGGCCCAGTGATGGGAGGCGGGAGGAGGTGAGCGAAGGCGGCTTTGAGACAGACTCCTGGGCCCGCTCGCGTGTGTGGCTCGAATCGTGGTGGTGAAGGGCGCGCTGGCGGGGTGCGGCCAGCGTCCCCGCTTTCCCGAGCGTCTCTCCAGCCCTCCGCAGGGGCCTCCAATAACGCCCTCCCCCAGGGCTGCCGGGGGCTGGGCTTTGTGCGTGACTTTTCCTGGTGGTTGCAGCTCTACCAACTAAAAAGATGAAAAAGCTGTAGGAACAGAGAGGTCAGCCGAGACGGGCGCCGTTAACCCGCGTGGAGCCGCAGGCTCGGCAGCTGCCTGCCTGGCTAGGCCGGAGCTGGGCACGCCTTGGTAGGCAGCGCAGGTGCTGCCTGATGCTCAAGTCGGGTTGGGCCCCGCGGCCTCAGCCTCGAAGCTGAGGTAGCAGGCAGCCCCGAAAAGGCCGCTCTGCGCAGCTGCTGACTCAGTTATCTTCAACTTGAAGGAGCTGGGACTGAACTCACGACCTTCGCAAGCCAAGCGCATGCTCCACCACCAACCCACGTCCTCAGCGTAACGGGTAGTTTTGTAAGAAACTGCCCAACTGTTTTCAAAACCGAGTGTCTCTTACTACACGCACGCACGCGCGCGCACACGCCACACACGCTGCAGTCCGGCTCTAGATCCTTTGCAGTATTTCTCATGTTAGATTTTTACCATTCAAAAGATGTTTAGTAGCTTTTCAGTTTTGAAGAACATCTGTTGGCACACTCATTTGCCTTTTGAGTGTTCTTTGTTTCTGTTTAGGCCAGGGTCTTGACGCTGGCTGGCCTGGTACTGGCCGTGTAGCTCAGGCTGGCTTTGAAGAGGCAACAACCCCAGGCTCGTGCCCCACACTCCACTCCTGACATCAGCTGTGTGGCAACCTAATCTCTAGTGGATCCAGCTGGATGCCCTCTCCCTCCGTTCAGGTCTGCTGCCTGCCTGAAGATAGCCCAGCTCCAAGGCTGCTCCGTCACTCCAACTCCAGACGCCAACTGCTAGTCTCAGCTTCCGGCTGACCAGCTTTAATCTGGGGTTCACAGCCCACTTTCTGGGAAGCACCTTTACGGATGAATAAAGGATATTACAAAGGAAGCTATGTTGGCTAATCGCAGTCTGACGTATCTGGGAAGAGGGAACCTCACTTGAAGTCCAGCCTCCATCAGACCAGCCTGTGTGTCTATTAGGCGTTTTCTTGCTGGGGAGTTGAAGTAGGTGGGCCCACCGTGGGCGGCGACATCCCTACACAGGTGTGCCTGGGCTGTAAAACTAGCTGAATGTGAGCCTGCCAGTAAGAGAGGGAGGGAGTTAAGTAGCTCTGCGTGTGAGTGTGTGTGATCCTGAGAGCAAACTAGTTGGTGTTGTGGGGGGAGAGTGTATCTACTGCAGTTTCTAGCTCAAGCTCCTGCCTTGGCCACCCTTGATGTTGCTTTGATGATGATGTTGATCATTAACAAAAACAAACAAACAAAGCTAGGATGGATGCAGGTTAAGGATATGGAAAAGGGTGTGGAAGTGTGTCTGTCACAGCTGTGATGTCTAAGAAAACTTTCTTCAGCCCAGGGTCACTTTTCTTTTTTCTTTTCCTTTCTGGAGTCAGGGTCTCGTGCAGTCCGGGCTGGCTTCCAACTCACTAGGTACCCAAGGATGCTCTTTAAATTGATCCCCCTGCTTCTACCCGCAGAGTGCTGGGATTACAGGTGTTTACCACCATGCCAGGGGGTGAAAGCCAGGGCTTCCTGCATGCTAGGCACACATTTGCCACCTGAGCCACATCCCCAGACCCCATGCTCTCTTCTGTTTGTTTTGTTTAGTTTAAAATATATGTTCACAATTGAGCTAAATTTTGCACAGCATCATACACTCATATGTAGGTGTGTGTGAATTATATATCTATAGATATTTTTTAAGCATATGGACCCAATTTTTGGAGACTCTCAATTAAAAGAAAACCAAGCAGTAAACAGCCACTGTCTCACCCTCCTGTTTTTATGCTGGTTCTCCACTCCGGGCTGCTGAGCCCTACAGTGAGTTTCAAGACCTAGGCATGCAGCTCTCTAGCAGCCCCGTTCCTGGTGTTCATTTTGATCTCTGCTTGTCAGTCTGCAATAGTCTTCCTCCAGGTTCTGAAAAGCCCTTCAAGTCTATCTGCTCAAGTCTAGAATCAGCTCTTCAAAAACTTCCTGAGATTTTGAGTGGAATTGATCTGACTCCCTACGTTTTGAATCCTAACTAAATTGAGTTTTCTAGCACTGGAGCCTAAAGTCAGGGTTTTGAGCATGCGTGGAAAGCTCTAGCTCCCCAGCTCTAGGCTATCTATCTACTCCAGGAATGTGGTGTATCTCCATTTCTCAAAGCCATTTTTTGTTGTCCTGTAAGGCTCACTCAACATACATTTTCACATGCTTTGTGAAATGTGTGCCTGTCTCATGGATTCTGGTGGTTACATTTGGAATATTTAAAAAAAAAAAAATCGTACTGCCAGCATTCAGAAACACCTCCCATCAAACACCTAAGCTGCCTAGTCAGAGTGCTTTTGTAGACTCTGAAAGAATATGACCTTGTACACGGCCTTTTGTTGGTTTCTGAGGATGGATTTTATGCAGCCTAGGATAGCCCCAAACTTTAACAGTGCCAAAAGCTGGCCTTAAAGTCTTTATTTCTTCTGTCTCTACTTCTTAAGTGCTGGGATTACAGGTATGTGTGACCATTCCTGATAGGCTTTTTAAAATTATTTACATGTGGGTACATCTGTGTCTGTGTATGATGCATGTGGTTGATGTTTAGGGAGACCAGAAGTGGGTGCTGACTCCCCTGGGACTGGAATTCAAGATGGTTGGGAGCCACCATATGGATGGCAGGCCATGAATCTGAATCCTCAGGAAGAGCAGCCAGTGCTCTTAGCCACTAAGCCTTATCCCTAACCCCATGTTTGTCTTTTAGATTCTTCTACTGTGATGGCTAAAAACACAAGAATATTGGTTTGGTAAAGAAATGGACATGTGTAGCTTCAGTCTCCTGAAATCTTCAAGGAATTGCATTTTGCTTCAGCATATGGTAAGTCTGGGCCAACTTCCTACAGCAGCATTCAAGGAATGTATGCTGGAATTGTTGGGCATATCCAGATTGGCATGCCAAGTGAAACATGATCTCCATGCTACTCCAGGTTTTCTTCTGGTCTGCTAATATGAAACTCCTTGAATTTGTTGTGGTTTTGTCCAAGCTTGATGTGAAATGTTGGTCTGTGACTTCTCATTAACCAAATCATTTACTACTAAAGTATCTTCCCCTTTTTGCAAGGAATAGTTTTTACTGGAAGGGCTTCTCTCCTTCCTCATGTCGATGCTTCTCCTGTTGGAATGGTACATGGCATCAAAGGAGACATGAATGTACATATTGACTGCTGCCTTAATTTTAAATCAGAGCCATGCACAGAACTCTTTGCACACCTTACAAGCATGTTCTAGCTTCACCTGGCAGGCTGGGTCTTCAGGTCTTTTGACATTCACTGTTGAGATCCATAAATGACTTATTGGCCATTAGTTTTTCCCTAATCAATGGTGCTGCATCACGACATCTCTGAAGGTGATCTTACAGCTCCTTACCTTAAAATACCATCTTCCAAATTGAATTGTCTACTCAACACTTCTCCTGATGTCTTTGATCAGACATCTGAAA